ACTTTTTATGCAGCTAAGATCATAATAGTTCAGAATGTGAAGCCGATATATCCATCTAAGCCTTTTGGATATGCGAAAAATGATGTCACATCCCACTGTATTCACCAGTTTGAATGTACGTGTGATCACATATGCAGAGGGAGGACTCATCGATTTCTGAAAGTAAGGGCTTCAGAGCGTATTCCTAAATGGCTGCAGAAGCAGATAGAATCTCCAAAACCCATTAATTGTGAGAACAGATGGACTAGCTCCTCTACTGCCAAACATATTATAGAGACATAAAATTGATGTTTACACATCTTTTAAACCGATCTGTAAAACGCGTTTGGGGGAGAGGGTGTATTCTAAACTTTGTTTTGCTACCAGCCCGGGTAGATGTACTATTAACTCTCTTATTTGGTTTAGTGATCTTCATTGTTATTTTCGCCGTAAATATATCCTTCTAACTTGACCTAAATCTATTTTCTCACGTCTTAACTCTTTATTATTCCATATGTACATATTCCAATGACAAGTTCGAGTGTGATCGATCAGATTGTTCGAAATGTGTTGCGCAAATACATTACACGATGCAGACAAATGACATCTTATTGCTTTGTTTAACTAACTATTTTAAATAATTAGCTAGCACCAGTATATCAAACGCGGGTGACAATTAACCAAGAAAATTAATACAACAATTAAAGGGTAGAAATAATAGTAAAAAATTAAACAAGTGAATTGCATAATGCATAATTTTGAGAATATAAGGAGTAGTTAGGCCTTGAATGAGTGTTGAAATTGTTTACGCATCAAACAGTTCAAGATGAACTGGCCAGAATAATGAATATTGAATCCAGTTTTTAGATTCTCCCCTCGATTGATTTGACCGAAGTGCTTGGTCTCAGGTTGACATGTCGACTTCTTGTGCAAATGCTTTGACGATATCTGGGCATGTAGCTAGAAGTTAATTAGTGGATGGTGACGAGCAGTGGAATCATCGATGCGCATTCCGTCCCATTTGGGACTTGTCATTTGGATGTACCTGCATTCGAGCCTCTGTGGTAACATCATCACTCACTGCAGAATCCATGTACATCCAGTTGACGAGTCCCGAACAGGACGATGTGCACATCCCAGATTCCACTGCTAGTCACCATCCACCAATTAAGAATAGTGAATAGTAAAGGTAATGATGACTTGCAGAATGCCTAAGGGGAGGGAGAGGGGAATTGTTAAATCTTCACATTTATGTAACGATCGCCAAAGTAAAGAAAGTAGTTGTACGAATTTCTTCTGAACACACAGGTCTGGATTGTTCAGGTAGATTCCCATGGCTTCAGTTGTATGTAGAAGACGAACTCTCAAAGCAAAATGAATACTTATCGGAATGCAATGTATAACCTTAAATGCCGTATTAATATCAACTTTATGTGAACTATATACAAGATGTGATTAAACACAGCTACGAATATATCTTGTTTGTCCCTTGGTTAATCATGCTTTATGATGTTTAAAAATACTATGATGAACCTGTCTAATTGTACGTCCAAGGTAGGTAGCTCTTAGGGAGCAGTTCATTTGGTAAATACACACAGAAAAGACAAAACTAGGTTGTTTATTCTTATTTTTAGAACGTAAAATTGGAGTTGTTATAAAGGAACTCTGTTTCTCTGCGGCGTTTAATGATCCTTTCCTCAATTCTGCGTTACTATTTCTCTGATGTTATCACGAAGAAACTTCAGTTTTATGAACAGGGGCTTCTTTGGAGTTGTTATCAAATGGACTTGGCGCTAAATTTATGCTTTAATCGATGATATTTTATCCAAATAACCACCTTTACTGATTAATTCCCTGGCAATCTGAAGTTTCTCATTAAGAGAGTCATTCGAGCAGATGATCCTTGCTCTGTGTACCATACACCTCACCAAGTTGCATTTATATTCCGAAAATGTGTATTCTGACCTGTCGTTATAGTTTTTTTACATACACTCTTTTCTGATCAAAAAGACATCTAGGAATGAAATGTTATCATTCCTTTCTTACTTTGTGGTAAATTTTACTACTGGATGCACACCACTGAACTTGTCAAGGATGCTGGTTGCTTTACTCTCGTTTTTCATAATCAAAAATGTATCATCCATATATTCATAGTAGAATTCTAATTCATTAAATACTTCTTTCAGTAGTCCATTCTCTAACTTCACGATGAACGACTTAGCTAGGACTGAAGCTAATGGTGAACCCACAGCTACACCATCTGTTTGTCCACAGAATTCCTTATATAGCATGAAATAAAAAATCATAGTACATCTTAAAATCAATTCCTTCATAAACGACACAAAAATACTGAAGTCAGTGTTTCACTTAGTAATTCCATCCCACATAAAATACACGGTTTCAATACACGGTAGATTAGTGAACAAAGAGGATACATGAAATTATTTTGGATAGAGAAATCTAGAGCTTAATAAGTAAGCTTACGACGAGAATATCCTTTACTCACTGCATCGGTGGCACAGTGGTTAGGACTCTGGCCGACTATGCACATGGTCTGACGCTCGATCCCCTACCAGTGCACACCAGATATCTATAGTCGGCTCTCAAAATTTGGGCTTCGCTTATCGAATGCTGAAAATCCCATACTTGTACCAAAAACACAGTGTGAAATCAAGCTGTAATCAAAAATAAATAAATAAGTATTTTGAAACTTATAATAAGCATCTTTAATCGATCATGGAAATATCAGTACTCATTTATTACAAAAAAGTAGAACAGGAAGAAATCTTATCGAATATGGTTTGTGTTTGATTGGAAAGGGTATTTTGGTAGTTCAAAGTTCAAGCAGGCCTTCAATTAGAGGTTTTATGATCATATGAACATCACCTCCTGTGTTACTTGTTTTATTATTATTATTTACCGCTTACCCGACTTATTCATCCCACAGTGTACAACATTTTATTTTTAGAAACGCTGTTTCACGCCTCACCAAAGTTGAAGTCATATGTCTAAAAAAAATCTCATTTTTAGGGTCTAGGTAGACAGACAGAGAAAGTCGTGGGAGTACGACAGAAATGTTTCTTCCTAGTTTGGGACTGTTAAACATTTTGCGTCCATTACCCCTCCGGGGTTTAAACTCATGATGTTCAGGTTACGAGCCAACCTCGTTAGTATTCAGCCACTGGAATGAAATCCAATACCCCTGTGAATTCTTGCTTCTGTATATTCACAATGTATACTCAGTGCCTTTGGTGGGTGTAACAGAATAAATGTTTGGGAAATCCTTTCTGAACGACCTACTTAAGTGCAGTTTGTCTTCGTCCCTGTCTAATCTCTAATTTTAATGCTTCTCATGTGGTTGTTTGATGATAAGGATAATGTATTGTTTTGTCTGAGTGTATCAAAGTCATTCTAACTTTGAACTGTCTGTGAGAATAGTTAGCGCGTGATTCTTGCCGACAGAGTTTTTATCCCACCTTGTTGGGAATATTCTTCTTGGTTCTGAAGTACTTCATAGGGTTGATTTTGGTTAAATAATTCTGTTGTATGGTAATTGCTTTGCGACTGAGGGCTAATTCATTCCGTATAGCTATTATAACAGCATTGTTGAGGTGATTTAGTGTTTTAAAATACTGTAATTGTTGAATAGTACCATAAATTTCATTGCAAATGACCGTCGTTTTGCTATCGTTTGGTCATTTTGTGACTATGAGTAACTCCAAGAAGTTCTAGTCAGGGGTATGCAGAAGAATGCAAAGATCGGTTTCAGACCCCAACAAATCGGTTTTTGGTCTTGACAATGCGTATCTATCCTTTAAACTACCTTAGTAGACTCCATCAGTCAGAACTTATTATTAGAACTCTTGGAATTCTATCCCATACCCGGTATTCATATCCGCTGGGTTCATTTCAAATTGTGGACATTGTAGAAATTTGATTGATTACAAGTTAGAGAGCAGGACAATTTACTCCGTCTTTGGGACATCACCGTGTAGTGTTGTAGAGTCACTGATTTCAAAGAAAAAACTCTATCTAGTAACTATTTCACTTCTGATACTTCTTTTTATTGATATAAGTATAAAACTTGGGCAGCGTGGTAGAGTATATCTCCATTATCACATCCATATAACATTTAAGTACTGGTTTGTAGGGATTTGATTGATTGGTTACAGGATTTCACTATGGGCTGACATCGGTTAGAGAACCATTCGAACACCTCGGATCAGAGACTTGGCGCGTCATGAAGACCACCTCAAACAAACTACAGACCTTCATTAACAGTTGTCTCCGCTGAATACTCAAGATCAGATGGCCAGCCAGAAAAGATCAGAAACAGGGTGGGATCTCTGGCAATGAGCGAACCAACTCAGCAGGAACCGATTGTGCAACAAATAAGCAGGAAGAAATGGGGGTGGATTGGCTGGCCATACTCTGAGGAAACACGCCACCAAGTGACATCACTAGACAAGCCATTGCTCGATTGCAACCCGAAAGGGAAGCGGTGAGTTGGTCGTTAGTGCAAGGGTGACTTGGAGGAGGTCATGTGAAGAGGAGATGAAAGCATTTGGGCAGACTTGGAGCGGAGTTAAAAAGTTGGCAGAAAACAGAAGGCAATGGAGACGAGCAGCTGAAACCCTATGTTCCTCTAGGAATTAAAGGATATAATAATAATACTAGACAGCTGTTTCATCAGTAGGCACCCACCGCCAGGGTTCAAACTCAGGACCTCCTGGTTACAAGCCCATGAATTCTAGCTGCCACCAATCCACGACATAGCGTGACCACTAGCCAATGTCTCCAGTGAGCATTTGTCCTCACACCCTACCTGCCGTACTACTACTGACGAGCCTCAAACTATGACGAAACAACTGTACAATATCCTCAGGTTCTCCAGTAGTTCTCTAACCGATGTCAGCTCATGATGAAATCCTGTAACTAATCCATTATAAGTTGTAACAATTCAATTTTTCTCTTTTTTTTTGTCTTTGTTTTTCCTTAATTTTCTCCTACTATTTTTGTAGATATTGTTGGTATCCAAGTTCTGCTGGTAATGTACCAGATAAGGCATTACAAGCTGGTGAAACATCTTCACACGAATCTTTATTCATAGCACGTGGTATAGTGAATGGTGAAGTATGCGTAGGCAAAGTTCATCCATCACACGGTTGTGCTTATTTTCCATGGGGAGGTGATGAACATGCAGTACAAAATTATGAAGTTTTATGTTTTGTTGATTAATAAAGAATATACACCACAAAATTATTTTTTTTTTAAACTTATATCTAGAAATATAACACTTGAACAGTCGTTTTTTCTCTTCATTTCAACAAACATGTTTATGCTCAAAACAAGATTTGAAGCATAAAAAGACTATCATTCGTGTGAACAAAAGAAATGCTTCCTACACTATGTGATTCAAATTTTAAAAAATAAACATTTTAAGTCGCTGTCTTTTGACTTATTTAATTCATTGCATATTTTGTACAGTAGTAAGATATCCGCCAACCACACATATGATCTGGATTCGATTCCTGGTTGGCAGTATTTATAGTAATCAGGGAAGGTTAAGCATGAGGTGAGAAACTCCACCCAGTAAAATTTAAAAAACAGCCCACCACCACAGAAACTTTAAAGTTCAAGCATGAAGCCTTAATGTTTCACCTGGTAGACAACATGATGAAAAAAGATATGATTTCGTCACGAGATGTATTTATGAATGATATTAGGCATAGACCCAGATTTCCTACTTATCGGTGCATATTAGAAAGAAGTATCTACAACTGAGGAAGATGTTCGCGCCTAAGCATAAGTGCAGTGGTATTCAAGTCCTTTGTAAACTGTCGAAATCTATAGCAATCAAGTATAGAATTAGTTAATTGGTGGATGGTGACTAGCAGTGGAGACCAAGATGCGCATTTTGTCGTATTAGAAATTCGTCAACTGGATGTACCTTCATCCCACAGTGAGTGATGGTGTACCAACCGAGGCTCCAACCCAATGCCCTTAGTTTCAAACGCCAAATCGTTATCCATTAGACCACTTGGGCCACGAAAGCCACCTCTTGTGCAACAGGCCATATTAATTATTTAATCCAATTTTAGATTTTCCTGTCGAGTACAGGTGCCTTCAGCTGACGAATCCCAAATAGTACGAAATGCGCATCCTGGATTTCACTGCTAGTCACCATCCATTAATTAACTTCTAGCTACATGCTCGGATATCGTCGGACGATCTGTACAAGAAGCCGACATGTCAACTTGAGACCGAGCACTTCGATCCAATCAATCAATAAGAAAATCTAAAACTGAATTAAGTAGTTGACAGACTTGATCGACATTAAGAAATTCACCAGATAAATCTATTACTTTCCAGTAGTTAGTTTTCATCTATAGGGTGTACTTATTTATTGGAATTAATGAGATATATACTTCGGGAAGCATTTAGGATTTAAAAGATAAAGATAAGATTATTGACCATTAAATTTAAAGCGAGAAAGATTTTAGAGAAAAAAATGTTTTCAGTTACTTCTTCCTCAGGCTTCATATGAGTATTATGATACAGATATTCAAACGGAGATCACATTTAAAAGTTTGGTGAAAAAATTCAGCAGTGAATACATGATATTTATTATTCACTACCATTTTTTTTGATGGTGAGGCTGTTTGACAGTCTTTAGTCGACAGATTGTTACTAATGTAGTAGGGGATGATTGGACCTCGTTTGGTTTACTAGTCCACTAGTTTCAAAACCTGTCCTAAGCTCAGAAAAAAAGTGGGAAGATTGGGTTCGGAGTTGGAAACCCTAATCTGGAAAATGAATCCAATCGCTACAGAATAATATTTTAAAAAATAAATCTATTTCTCTCTGGAACTGGAAGAACGGAATGATGTGAGCTGGCGATAACTTTCCGGAAGACAGTCAGTCGATATGTCTTATTTCGATAAAATTTAAAATAAGAATAGGGAGGCGGAATGTTTAAGCGATGAACGAAGCTGGGAAGGCTGCTCAGGTTGTCAGAAAAAAAAACGAGAAGATAAGGTGTAAAAGCGCTAAGAATCTGGAGACGGGAGGTGAGATGTAAATGGGCTCTCTAAATTGTTGACTAGACAGCCAACAATATACTCCAGTAACTCAGAAGACAGTTACGACCACACTAAGGGAGTAATTATCATGATGTCACTAACAGCAGCCAAAGCTCTAATGCACTGGGAATCAATATCATCCAGGATTGTGACTATAAGATCCGACGGAAAATGAAGGAAGGGAGGTTACAATCATCCAGTGCCACTCACCCAGAAACAACTAGGAACAAAAGGAGAAGAAAGATTTCTAATGACAATTGCCAAAGGTAATGGGAAATATCCCAGCTGGTAACATCAAAATCCTTGTGGGTGATATGAAAGTTTAACGGGGAGGGGAAAACACATGGATAGTACTTGTCATGGGTCAAGAGGCTGTCACTGTGCGAGATGAATGATAACGGAGAACGCTTCTCAGGCCTCTGCGTTTTCAATGATTTGGTGGCTAGGGGTGTGGTCGATAAGCACAATCGCAAAGTAGAGACGCAGCCTGTTAGATACGAAGTCAAGAAGGGGAGCAGATATGATCTCAGACCCCTACCTAGTACTAGGAACCTCCTGACCCAAGTTGAAAGCCTTCAAAGAAGCTGGAGATAGACCAAAATTCAACAAAAGCCACCTACATTGCAGCCATCAGACATTACTGAGGAAAACTGCGTGGAAGAGCATCTGCACTCTCTGAAGTTGATATTTAAGAAAACGCGTAAAACTGTTCTAGGAAGAAAGAAGACACAAGATAAGACAAGGAAAGGCTCTCAACGGATACCTGGGAGCTAATATAAGAGAGGAGAGGAGAGGGCGATGATGGAAGAGAGGATGACTCAATGCAAAGATGGACAACACAGGGAGAAGCTGAGTTCGGTGGACGACGCCTTTAATAAAAAAAGTGGAGAAGAGTGCCAGCAGAGACACGCTAAATTCAGAAAAAAGCAAATCATCTGCAGATTAAATCATAACTCTACGCATCATCGAACAGAGCATAGAATGACAGTCAAACATCTACCTTAACTTTATAGACTTTGAAAACAAATATCATTGGCGATAAAGTAATTTGCAAACTTCTCCAACGCTATGGAGTCAGAATGTGAATTTTAAATCAGAGTGAAAATCTGCTGCATTCAGGATAGAGAACCAGATTTAGATTGTCAACAATAATGTCAAATCAATGCCTCTGCATGGTTTAGAAACTTAGCCGGAGCGTGACCAAAAGCACTTCGAACAGGCTGAAAACTTTTATCAACACCTGACTTAGTTCCATATTGAAGGTCAGATTGTATCAAAGAGTATTAGCAACAAGAAACTTTGGCAGAAAACAAGTCAAAAAACTCTATTCCAATAAATATGCAGAAGAAACTGGAGGTGGATGGGACACACGCTAAGGAGACCATTGAGTGACATCACCCGAGAAAACAGTCGAGTGGAATAGAGATGGCAGACAATGAATTGAGTGTTAGTCCGAGGGTGAAATGGTGGAGATTATTTAAGCAGGAGATGAAGGCTGACGAGCAATCGTGGGGCCAGCAAGATGGAGATGTGCTGTTCAAGCCCTATGTTCCAATCAAAAACCAAGGGAATTGAAATAAACTGACGACTGAATGTGTAATGAGAATCTGGTTTGGGATAGAATTCGAACCTAAATTCTGTAAAAAAACTACTCGCCCGTCACTGTATCATCTGAGCTATGAGACTTAAGTGCTAACTGGATCTATACTTCTCTACAACAACCGCACAATCCAAATTTTTATTTCAACCATAACTCAAAGGGTTTATTTATTTATTTTGAATCTTATCGATTATTGACCTATGTAAAAGTGTAAATTACCTGTACGTATGCATGTACACGGGGTTTTGGTTGCCGCTGGATACAGTCGTTGGATAGGTGATTTATGACTGTGAGACATCATCAATGATAGTCGTATGGGTACCTACATTTTATGGTTTGAAGTTACCAGTCTCTCAATTGGTCATGTGACAGCACAGTTCAAAACACCATATTTGGTCATCGTAATAACTACACTTCTTTATTTACAGTTGTAAAATTATGCAATCTAATGTGGTCACTAAACTTTTTGATTATAGTGGACACTTGATTAACTGACTTGAACGAACATACTGATAGTTACACGAGTTACTAATAATAATAATAACAGCTTTATTCCAAACAGTATTTGTGGTACAGGTATGGAATTTTCAGCGTGCATTACAGTATATTGCATCTAATTACCTCATAAATTATATAAGATTTTTAAAAATCAAAGATAAATAAATAAAAATAAAATAAATAAGTTATAAATAAATAAAAGTTAAAATTAAGAAAAAACAGCGTAGAGTATTTCATTTCAAACAATGCACCACAGGATTTGAAATATAAAGTTGATGTGTGGTAGAAGATGAGAACAACAGTGTAGTAGTAACGAGGAAAGGAAAACAAAAACTAATGAGACTATTTGTTAGAGTGCCGCAGTAAGTTTATCGTGTCATACCTAACGGATTTCTCATCACATAACAGCTGTGCCAGATATGGTATTGTGGAGTTTTTGTATTTGGTAGTCCTAGCATATAGCCTCCTATAGCTGCTTCTAGTTCTTCCAGATGAAATGCAAGGAGATAGATGTGTATAGAGAGGATGCTCGGGGTCCGACAATATTGTATTCGCTAGTTTCTTACATGACATAATATGTCTATCTACAATAGTGTTCACCAGTTGGTTTAACGATATCCCACTTGCCCTACTAACAGCTTTTAGTGCCCTTCTCAGCGAAGCAAAGTCTTTCTTAAGTAGTCCAGGAAAGACTAATGGGGAGCAGTAAAGGAGGATGGGTAGAATACAAGAATTTACAAACTGAGAAAGTAAAGACTGCTTTATGCCAGACTGCCTAAATTTCCTAATGTAGAACGTTAAGCGAAACATCTTTCTAGTAACTAGCAAGATGTGGGAAGACCAGGAAAGATCGGTGGAAAAACTCAGCCCAAGGTACTTGACATTAGATGTATTTTCAACCTCTGTGCCGTCAATGAGAGTGGGGCCATGTGAGCTAACTAGTTGCTGTAGGTCACATTTACGTCTGAAAGTGAAATTGACTACCTGACATTTAGACGGATTAAGCTTAAGTCCGTTTGAAGAGGACCACTGACTAATTTCCGACAGAAAGCTATTTA